GAGGGAGTAGCCAGCTGTAGGCACCTCAGCAGAGAGCGGAGCCCACCCAGAGGCGCTGAGACTTCCTAGATATGCGGAGAGGCAGTGAAGAGGGAGCGTTCACAGTCGCAATTATTAGCTCCTCTAACCCTGGAGGGAAAGAAGAGAGGATCCATGAGGGAATAGAAAGAGTTTGATCTGTCAGGTTGATTGATTTGATAGTTAGAAACTTAATTATCCTAAAAGTCTGAGACTCATATGTTTATCTGAATAAAGCAGAAATACACTGACTATTGCTATTTCTAAAACTTACAAGCCTTCAGAACTCACACACAATCGAGAGGCAGTCAAGCAGTCAAAAAGCAGAACTTTCTTTTTTTTTTTTTTTAAAAAAGCAGAACTTTCTAAAAGCCTATGTACTGGTACTAGGGCCTCTGAAGTGGTTGGTTGGTTGTTTTTAAATAGCAAGTCTTATCTGAGTTCAGTAAGAAAGTCTGTTATTTGTGCAACTATTAAGTTCATTCAAACTGCTGGATTTTATAGGATTTTTGGCTTAATTGATCAGATACTGCAGTGTTAGGACAAGGTAAAGTTAATTACCCACACCAGTTTTACTGAAGTTTTATAGAAATTGAAATCTAGCACTCAGCCTTTTATTTTAGGTGACATTATGTAGTAAATATCACATAGACAATATAAGCAAAATAGAATGTAATATATAGACAAGATTATAAAATATATATCTATATATAATGTATGTAATTTTTATTTTTTTGAGGAACCACTATACTGTTTTCCAGAGTAGTAAACCAATTTACATTTCTACCAACAGTGCACAAGAGTTTCCTTTTCTCCACATCCTTACAAACACTTACCTCTTGTTTTTTTGATAATGGGCATTCTAGTAGGCGTGAGGTGGTATCTTACTGTAGTTTTGATTTGCATTTTCCTGATGATTAAAAGTAATGTTTAATTACTTTTAAATTAAAATAATGTTTGCACCTTTTAACATACCTGTTGATCATTTGTATGTCTTCTTTGAAAAAAAAAAGTCTATGCATATCATATTATTTTTTAACCACACTGTTTTTGCTCCCAAGTTGTATGAGTTTCTTACATGTTTTGCATATTAACCCCTTGTTAGATGATTTGCATATGTCTCCTCCCATTCCATAGCTTGCCTTTTCATTTTGTTAATTGTTTATTTTGCCGTGTAGAAGCTTTTCAGTTTGAGTTAAATCAGTGGTTCCACTTACTGATTTTTGCTTCCCTTGCTTCTCCTTTGGTGTCATGTCCCACCCCCCGCCCACCACCACCAAAAAAAGATGGTCGCCAAGACGCATGTCAAGGAGCTTCCTCTCTTATTTTTTTCAAGGAGTTTTATTGTTTCAGCTTTTACATTTAAATCTTTAATCCATATGAAGTTAATTTTGGTGAGTGGTATAAGATAGAGATCCAGTTTCATTATTCTACATGTGCTTATCCAGTTTCCCCAACACCATTTATTGAAGAGACTCTTCTTTCTCTTGAGTATTCTTGGCTCCCTTGTCAAATGTTAGTTGACCATACACGTGAGGGTCTATTTCTGGCCACTCAGTTCTATTCCATTGGTCTATGTATCTGTTGTGTACACCATACCATACCATTCTGATTACTGTAGCTTTGTAGTAACAGTTTGAAATCAGGAAGTGTGATATCTTCAGGTTTGGTCTTCTTTCTTAGGAGTGCTTTAGCTATTTGAGATCTTTTATGGTTCTGTGTAAATTTTAAGATTGTTTTTTCTATTTATATGGAAAATGCTATTGGAATTTTGGTATGGATTGCATTGAATTTATAGATGGCTCTGGGTAGTATGGGCATTTTAACAATGTTCTTCCAAATGATAGACATGGTATATCTTTCCATTTACTTGTGACTTTTTCAATTTCTTTCATCAGAGTGTTAGTTTTCAGTGTAAGGATCTTTTATTTCCTTGGTTAAATTTATTCCTTACTATTGTTATTTTTGATGCTATTGTAAATGGAATTGCTTTTTTTGTTTTTCATATATTTTGTTGTTAGTATATAAAACTGCTATATGTTACAGCAGTCTTCTGCATTTTAATTTTGTATACTGCACCCTTACTGAATTCACTGATTCTACCTGTTTTTTGGTGGAATCTTTAGGATTTTCTGTATATAAGATTATATCATTACCAAGCAGACAATTTTAACTTCTTCGTTTCTGATTTGGAGTAAATGAACAAGCATATTTGGCATGGAGCACAGCTCTCGGGGGTTCCATCATACCTTTCCCTAACTTAATCCCCAATGTTTTTCTATTTGGAGATTGGGCTTTGGGGAGGTGATTAGGTCACAGGGCAGAGTCCTCATAAATGAGATTAGTTCCCTTATAAAAGAGACTACAAAGAGCTTCATTGCTTCTTTCACTGTTGGAGGAACTGTGAAAAATAAATGTTTGTTGTTTAAGCCACCCGCTCAATAGTATTTTTGTTATGGTAGCCAGAGTGGACTGAGAACTATCTATTAATGAACAGGTACATGTGTACTAAGTCAGTTCAGTCCTGTCTGACTCTTTGAGACTCTGTGGACTGTATCCCGCCAGGCTCCTCTATCCATGGGATTCTCCAAACAAGAACACTGGAGTGGGTTGCCATATCCGCCTCCAGGGGATCTTCGCAACCCAGGGATCAAACCGCATCTCTTACATCTCCTGCATTGGCAGGTGGGTTCTTTACCGCTAGCGCCACCTGGGAAGCCCCATTAATGAACACCCCAGCACAATGTCCTATAGAACATGTGACTCAAACTTACTGAGAATGTCTTTGAGTGAACTCGCTCCTTAAGTGGCGCAAACCCACCTCTCTTGAGCTTTAAGATCTCTGCCAGTCCTTTATTTGAATGCTGGGAAAGAAACCTAAGGTTTTCGAACCTAAGGTTGTGATTGGGCAGGAAGCCTGGGAGCTTCTGATAGAATCTCAGTGCCCTCAGTGAATCTTAACAAATTACCCTTAAAAGAATAAGCTTCTCTTCCCCATTCATTTCCACCTCAGTCATCTCTAGAAAGTCACCGAGGACCCCAGCTGAGAGTTTATACAGCCACGGCTGCAGCAGTGAACCTCAGAGGTGGCCTTCATGCAGATAAAAGGGAAAGTCATGAGTTAACTGAATACAGGTCAGCTTTGCGTCCAATTTTTTTTTTCCATCTTGTGGATTGAGATCATCTCAACCCTTGAAATGTTTCTTCTTTGAAGGATGTCTGGGTACACAGTTACTCAACATTTGGACAGTGAGGAGAAGTCTGTCTCCTTGGCTTGCCCTGTGCTGTTTCTTGGACTCTGTTTAAGCTCCCATGAAGAGTTAATCCACACTGAGTGATCCAGACTTGGAGAAATGTCCTGCTGGGGGATGTGGTGGACACTGCAGTGAGACCAAACCTCTGGGGAGGGGCCAAGGTTTCCTGAAAGGTACATGAAAACTGATCACATGTGTGTGTATATGTGTATGTATACACACAACAAACCTTTAACCATTCCTTGTCAATGGACATTTAGGTTGTCTCCATGTTTTGGCTATTGTGAATAGTGCTGCTATGAACACAGGGTGCATGTATCTTTTTGAATTATAGTTTTGTCCGAACATATTCCCAGATGTGGGAGCTGGATCATGTGGCAATTCTATTTTTAGTTTTCTAAGAAACCTCTATACTATTTTCCACAGTGGCTGTACCAAGTTACGTTCCCACCAACGGTGTAGGAAGGTTCCCTTTTCTCTGCACCCTCTCCAGCATTTGTTTGTTGGTTTTAATTATGGCCATTCTGGACTGATGTGAGGCAGTACCTCGTTGTACTTTTACTTGGCATGTCTCTGATAATTAGTGACATTGAGCATCTTTTCATGTGCCTACTGGCCATCTGTATGTCTTATTTGTAGAAATGTCTATCAAGGTTCTCTGCCCATTTTTCAGTTGGGTGTTGGGGTTTTCTGTCGTTGAGTTGTTTGAGCTGTTTGTGTATTTTGGAGATAAAGCCCTCTTCTGTCACATCATTTGAAAATTGGCCACTAGTCACTACCTGAATCCTCATCTCTGAGGTGTACAAGCACAGATATGTTGCTTAGCTTCTATTTGCCTCAGTTTCTTCATCTCTGAGGTGGGTGTCATGATTTTATCTACCTCACAGGGTTTGATGAAGACTGAGTTATTTAAGGTATAGAACACACCCAGAAGTTCTTGGTGCATATTGATCAGTAATAATTATTGATACTAATTATCTGTATGTTGGAGGGAAGAGACACCTAGGAGAAAGGGAACCAGGTTGTGACCAATGTGTGCCAGTGAGGGGAATCTCTTGAGTAGTAGAATTTCTTGGGTTATGATCAGCATCTAAACTGTAATTTTTCTGAATTACCTATAACGCTTCCTTAAGCCTGAAATTCCTGCAGAGTCTGTTATAAGTTAGGGGTGTTACGGAAAATAAAGTGTCAGGACAGTCAAGGAATCACTCTGTGCCTCTGCCACAGGAGAGAACAGCTCCCTCTCAGAGGGACTGCATCAGAGTTCCAGGAGTGAAGGGCAGAGGCTTTGGTCCATGGGGGAGCCAAGAGCCTGCAGAGAGATCCCCAATAGTCACAGACACAGGAGAAGTCCTCAGGCATTCCAGATTTGCCAGAGGAAACTGTTGGAAAGGGGATGGTTGGAGGGGGTAACAGATGCTTGGGTTACCTGGAAAAGATTTTCTCCAAATTTCTTGTGTTCCTACCTGCCTGGCCAGGTGAGCTCACAAAGCATTTAAGAGCGAAACCCAGCCCAGGACAAGTGTTCAGGTCTTCCCCACGCAGTGAGATGGGGGTGATTATTGGCAAATCCTACTGTTGACTGGAACTCATTTGGGCACCTGAGAACGATGGAAGGATTGGTGTGGCTCCCATCAGGATCTTCTCCCCTCCCCACACCCCGAGTTAGAGAACTGGTTCCTCCATCCAACCATCAGGTAGAACCCTCCAATGGTCACAACACAACAAGTTATTACTGAACCTTTGTTTCCAGCTGCAGGTTTATTTTCAATTAAAAATCTATATGTAGAAGTCACGAGACTGCCACAAGTGCCTCACACTATTGAGTAGAAAGCCCACAGGAAGCAGACAGACAGATGGACTCAGCTGCCCCCGCCTCCTCAGACAGGGGGAGGACAAGCCAGGCAGACCCTGGAGGTCAGCTGAGTCCTTAGGGGGACAGGAAAGCCCAGGGCCAAGGGGAAAATAACACAAACCCTGCGTGGGGAGCTTCCAGTAAAGGCAGGGAATCACCATGCCATTCAAACGAAGACCCTCCAGTCCCTCTCCTTGCCTAAGAACGCCACACCATTTGTTAGAAAGTTTGCCTACTGTCCCCAGTAGCAAAGAGCAGATAGAATTTTACCAGCAGGAGCTCAGAAACATGCTAAGAGCAAAAGGTGAAGTGGTCTGGGGATTAGGGGTTGATTTTCAGCCCAAGACACAAAGCCAGCTCAGACTTCTGAATTTTTCCATCCTTGTTCACGTCGCAGTGGCGCAAAAGAATCTCCCGAAACTTATCAAGGTCCACCCCTCTGATGCTGGGCTGAGGACAACAAAAAATAACATATCAGTAGGCAAGTCAGTGGTGGTCCCACGCTTTCATGCCACCCTGCCCCCACTCCATGCCTACTAAACTTAGGGGACACCCAGCCTTCTGGGAGCGCCTCCCTGAAGACAGGCCTCCAGGGAGGACTCCATCTCTTTCATCCCACCAAACATTGCCAAGGACTAGTTTTCTGCCACCAGGTTCAATTCTCATCCTGTCCCTTCAGGTCAGAGAATGTCTGTTCCTACATCACTTATCTGCAGTTTGTACAGAAAGTCTGCCTTTTTTGCAACCACAATAAAGATATTTTGCCTTAGAGCAGAGGATTGTCACCAAAATTCTGTCTCACTACACTGATGAGAGAAGGCACATTTATTAACTCCCTGCGGAGATACTGACACCCCCGTCTGGTTTTTAAAAGGGTAGCAATGAATAAAAATCTAAAGAATTATGTTGTTGAGCCAGACAGACCCCATCAGATTTATTCCAAGGAATAGTTCAGGAGCTAAGAAGGAATTGTGATGCAGGTCAGCTAGGAAAATGTTGTAAACTTGAAGACCTGCAAAAGTGAACAGTGGTGGAACTCAGTGATTCTTCCTAGGTTACTTTAACCCTCACAATAACTTTGGGAGGCAAGTGGTTACTCCTTGTTTACAGATTAGAACACAGAGGCTCAGAAAAAACTGAGATATCTTGACATGCCAGAAGTTGCAGGAGCATTTTTGATCCCAAGTCTTTTGTTTCCAGTTAAGTGCTCATTTCACCAGTTCTCACTGTTCTCATAGGGAATAGCTGGCCTAATGAAAGCCATATGAATGGTGATGAATCTAAATTTAAAAGCCAGCATCTGAAGAGAATGGAAAAACCAGCTAATCAGATTTCCAAACCCTTTGATTTTCAAACCCTTCATTTAGTGGACTAGTTATGAGTAAAGAGTGCAGGCAGCAGTTTGCAGGATTTGATTTCATGAATTCTCAGAAACATTTCCCATCACCTAACCTCACCCCAAGGTTTCCTCACTTCCAAAGAAAGTTCTAGGAAACCTGCAGTAGGAAACAAAACCTTTCATTCTACAACTAGACAACCATATTAAGACAAGCTAATTGGCACTGTCCCACACAGTAAATGATTGACACCAAATCCACCCTGATAGAAGGTTTTAACAGGAGAAGGGGAAAGAACAGCAGAAACTGGGAGCCAGATGGCAGAGAGCAAGAAGGAAAAACTAAGAGTGGGGCAGGATTCTGGGAGAATCAGGAGGGCCAGAAGCTAAACTTGGTGGACTTCACTTCTCTGCCAAGAATCTCTTGAGTGATTGGACGAAGAGGCTAAGGTGTAACCCATTGTCTATAGGTTCTCTTTGTTAAGTATAGCTCCCTGGGTATCGTGCCAAGCAGGTGTAGAAGTGGCCCCAGGGAATGTGGCCTAGAGGTCCTAAAATCAGCAAGCTACCCTCTGTGGCTCCATATTAGAGGCTCGTTTGCTGTGCAGCTACAAGGCAGGGATGTTTGGTCTTCAGGATCCTCAAACCACTTTGGCTACAATCCTTTCTGCAGCAAATGGCACCCTGTCTCAGGATCCTTTTAGCACTCTTTTGAAAAGACTCAGGTGGTAGTCATTTACATATTAGCAAAAATTTGCTAAGGTATTTATGCAATAACCAGGCTATTCTAAGCACTTTTTCCCCCTTAATGTGCTTCCTGCAAAGGAATTATTTCCTTTAAGTGAGTTGAAATATTTTTGCATGTGTGGAAGTATGTGTTGGGGAGGCACTTGTGGGTATGAATGTGGGTATGCGAAGGAAGTTTCTTTGAACCTTTTGTGTTTTTAATGCTTTATAACTTACTAGGAGTTAGGAGAACCGAATGACACTGCTCAAAAATGCTTGGATCACAGAGGAAAAATCATTTAAAACCACTGAGGGCCTCTGTTTTAAGAACAAGTTGCCAATATAAATGCATGCAGTTTCCCTTCTAAGGTCTCTATGCATCCCCTTTTGCCAGCCATCTTCTTGTCAACAGAGAAAAGCAGATGGTGTATCTAGCAGGGAAGAGAATAAACTGTTGAGACCTGGGGGTAGGACCTCTCATCATCTCCAGGCAGACACCTCTAGCATCCCTTTTATTTGGCTTCTAACGTTATCGTTCACATGTCTACTTCTTGGTGGGTGCTTAGAATCTGGAATGTCTTGCGTTCCCACTTTCTAGTTTAGGATGTAGACTGTTGTGGTGGTGTTGATTTTCTTGCTGTGCTAAGTGAGCTACAGTCTTTTAAAGAATCTTGTGCAGAAATTATGGTGTCTGCTCACTCAGGGACTTGCTGTCTCAACATATTGATGGAGAACAGGCTTGGGTACTGTTTTCCAGAGGTTAAAGAAAAGGGTGATCTGGTAATCAGATAATCTTTTTAACACAAATTCAACCTATATGTCATACATGACTGTGTAAGAATTAAAAAGCTATAAAACAAGCTTGTGCTCAAGTCGCTCAGTCATGTCCAGCTCTTTGTGATCCCATGAACTGTAGCCTGCCAGGCTCCTCTGTCCATGGGATTTTCCAGGCAAAAATACGGGAATGAGTTGTCATTTTAGGATTATTGTAAACATCAGGGGTTCTGTCCAGAACTGTATGTTTATAAACTGAGTCAGCCCCCTGCTGACTCCATGGCATGATCTGAAAATTGCTTTTAAAATAAGTTACAGATATTGGCTTCATTGCCTTGTGGCCCTTTCTTATAAATGAAAATCAAATTCACAGGAGATGGCTCTAGCTAATGAAGCTGAGAAAAATCAGATCTCAGTGGTCTCAGTATCAGGCTCTCAGTGACCCAATGGTCATATTTGACTACATCTTTCAGATAGTCTGGTGAATATTTTTTTAAGCAACACGAAAGACTAAAAAGGTTCAATAAAGATAGGCGCCTTCAATCACCTGGCTTCAGGGGAGAACATTAGTAACTGCTGTGTACATACTTTGTAGCTCAAGAGGTCAACTCCTAAAAACTGCTTTTGTATTACGGACCAGTCTGACCCAGTCCTTGGAAACCGGCTATCTCAAGCTGTCTGGTACTAACATGGAGAAGTTCCAATAGCCCCACAGAAATAGAGTGGCAAGGACAGAAATGATGGGGTGCTTCCGATTTCCCATAGAGGCGCTATGAGTCCATTAAAGAGTGAGACAGACTTCTGCTTCCAGCTCAGGTTTTCAGATGGTCTCAAATTTTTTCCTTTAATTTTCTCTAGAAGATTATCTTCTCTGCTCTGTTGCTGGTTTAGGTTTTACTTCCATGGTCTCACATTAACCTTTGGAAGCCATTGCTAAATCCAGAGATGGCTGAAAGACAACTGAAAGAGTCTGTAAGGATCTGAAGCCTCTGGGCTCGACAGGCAGTTAGGAGCCCTGGCTCCACTGCAGAGAGAAGGCCACACAGCTCTGGAAAATAGGTTCCCAATCCCATTTATTCTAGCAAAAGCAAATTAAAACTCCAGTTAGACAAGACCTTCTGCTGTACAGCTTTAATGTCCCATAGATAACTGCTCACTTTCTATGACAGAAATCATCCTGGTGTTAAATAGATAATGAGTGAAATGGGATTTTTCCTTTAGCAATCAGCGTGTAAAAGGCAACACCACACCAGCACCCAGCAACTGTTCTGACTGTGCAAACACTAGTGAAATCTCCGACAAGAGCAACATGTGAAGGGGACAAAGAAGGGGCAAGGGGCCAGTTGAGTGGGATTAATAAGAGTTAGGCGTTATCCTCATTAGACCTCAGAAATAAAAAAATGTCTCATCCATACCTGCTTAACTACAATATGTAAACTTTCTGGAGATTTCTGCCGAAATTGGTATCTGAGCATTTTTCCACTGCAAAACCCCATAATTCTAATCAGATTTTTAAGAAGGTCTGAGACTCCAAATACAGTTAATAATTATTGCTACTCTAATTTATTACCATCTAGGCCAATCAAGAAATGATCCTGGTGTCCTATACAAACCTCAAAAGCAATCCCTAAGAATATTATCCCTAAAGTCACAAAGAGTCAGACACAACTGGGTAACTAAACTGAAGGATATTAAACTACTAAATTCAGTGGCAGCGGCTGCTGCTAAGTCGCTTCTGCCGTGTCCGACTGTGCAATTCCATAGACGGCAACCCACCAGGCTCCGCCGTCCCTGGGATTCTCCAGGCAAGAACACTGGAGTGGGTTGCCGTTTCCTTCTCCAATGCATAAAAGTGAAAGTGAAGTCGCTCAGTTGTGTCCAACTCTTAGCGACCCCATGGACTGCAGCCTACCAGGCTCCTCTCTGTCCATGGGATTTTCCAGGCAAGAGTACTGGAGTGGGTTGCCATTGCCTTCTCCGAAATTCAGTGGCTACACAGTCCCATAGAAAAACACCCACGTAAGTATTGAAAATATCTGGATTTTTCCTGGATCGTGCAGCTAGTCAATACAGTTCATCAGGATCTCAGAGGAGATTGCTTTTTCAAACATTGTTTACCCTACATGGAACAGCTCTGCGATGTAGATATGATCTAAATTACATCAATCCCAACCACTGCAATGCCCTTCTACATAAAATAGCCATCTTAGGCTAGGTGTTAGAGCAGCCTGCTGCAGGGTTGGGGGCACTGAGTGCAACAGTGCATGCATGGGACCTTTTGAAGGAGGTTGCCATTATCTTCATTACCTCCACCATAGTTTGGTCTCAGATCAAACAACAGGGAGGCATCACAACCCTGCCCATCAACAGAAAATTGAATTAATGATTGACTAAGCATGACCCTGCCCAACAGAACAAAACCCAGTTTCCCCCCCAGTCAATCTCCCATCAGGAAGCTTCCATAAGCCTCTCCTAACAGAGGGCAGACAGAATGAAAACCACAATCACAGAAAACAAATCACATGAACCACAGCCTTGTCTAACTCAGTGAAACTATGACCCATTCTGTGTAGGGCCACCCAAGACGGATGGGTCATGGTGGAGAGTTCTGACAAAATGTGGTCCCCTGGAGAAGGGAATGGCAAACCATTTCAGTATTCCTGCCTTGAGAACCCCATGAACAGTATGAAAGGGCAAAAAGATAGGACACTGAAAGATGAACGCCACAGGTTGGTAGGTGCCCAATATGCTGCTGGAGAGGAGTGGAGAAATAACCTCAGAAAGAATGAAGAGATGGAGCCAAAGAGAAAACCACGCCCTGTTGTGGATGTGACTGATGATGGAAGCAAAGTCTGATGCTGTAAAGAGCAGTGTAGCATAGGAACCTGGAATGTTAGGTCCATGAATCAAGGGAAATTGGAAATGGTCAAACAGGAGCAGCCCCTTGGTGTTAAAAAAAGAAAGAAAGAAAGAAAATCCCAAATATGGAATTTATTACATGAAATTAAACATTTTAGTTATTTTAGTAACCAAGTCCATAGGAGGAAGACCTTCTGTAATCAAAAAATGAAACAGCAAGGTGCTCCTTTGGTAAAATGGATGACTTTTAAATGATGGTAACAAGAAGCTGCTATGGGGGCTTCACTTAATTGGAACTACAATTGATCTCAAGAGAAGAGATTTGTTGGGTTTCACAAATGCTCAAGGGCTTCCCAGGTGGTGCTAGTGGTAAAGAATCTGCCTGCCAGTGAAGGAGAGATAAGAAACACAGGTTCGAACCCTGGATCAGGAAGATCCCCTGGAGGAGAGCATGGCAACCCAATCCAGTATTCTTGCCTGGAGAATCCCATGGACAGCAGGCTAGAGTCCATAGGATTGTAAAGAGTCAGACATGACTGAAGAGACTTCGCACAGAGGCACAGATGATCAAAGTTTGTTAAATAGACTGCATCCCTAGATTTTCTGCATCATTACTCTTTGGCCCTACTGATTCCCCCCAAATAAACAATGGAATCAAAACAGCAGCCCCAATTCCTTATGAGAATGATCTATCCACACAGTCTCATGAAGTCACCTGGACAAGCTCCATCATGTCTTTGACAAACCCATCCACTTCTGGGCCTTCCAGGGCCCCAGTTTTACTCTGAAAGATAAAAGATTCAATCAGCCAAATATAATTTTCTTAGGTCAAAAAGCTTAAAGAATAAGTTACACAAGTAGACCAAATCAGTATTCTTTTGTGACTACAAACAAGTTTGGAAATGGCATGTTCTAACATGTTTTCTGTGTAGGAGAGAACATACATGCTCCACATAAATCAAAAGAATTCACTCTAAGTAACTTCCCTCATATAATCAATGGAATGGTTTGCAGTGGTTTTGATGGAAGCAGTAGTTTTGAGCTCCTTACTGTGACAAATAGCATTAAAGACTATATCAACTTTATTTACTTCCCAAATACTAGGACTCAGTTCAGACTAGTGCTAATTACACGTTCCTTGACCCTTTGAAAGACATACTGCCATTTTAAGATTTTGCTTTGATTTAGCAATGATTTAATTATCAAAACACATTTTAAATTCAAGAGGTACTAGATTGAGTGAGCATATTAGAATTATTATATGGTTCATGTATAAAATACCCATTTTGTAAGAATGCCTATAAAAATACAATACATACTAAAATATTTCAGTTTCTTCTCTAAAGTTTCAGTTATGACAGGTCATCCATTTTCTTCAAGGTTTTTTAATCCTGAACCTTTAACATAATATTTTTTAAAAAATCCATTTCCTTAGTGTGTTTTACCAGACACTGGTACAGTACTTGCTATATGCCAGGAACTCCTCTAAGAGCTTTACAAACATGAATTCACTTTCCCCCTATTTCTTTAGATTGGGTGTGGTTTTTGTATGACTACTTACTTTTGTATTTGAGCATGCTAATATAGAGACCAAGAAGGAGAAACTTTCTTTTAGATTGGATATAAGCACAGAAAAGAAAAAAAAAAAGCGACTTTATTCTCTTCTCCATCAATACTCCTATGTCTATTTATACTTAGTTCTCAGAAGTTTTATTATAGAGAAGCTAAGGGGCCTTGACACAGCAATACACGTGTGTGATTGCTGTTCATCACCTAAGGTTAGGGTCTGTGAGGGACACCACATAGGGACTAAACAAGCTTCCTACCTAAAGATGGCCAGCATAGTATATCAAAAAGGCACACTTACAACATCATAGTGAGCAAAGATTTTCTCAAAGTCCCTTTTTCTTTCTTCAGTGGAACAAGCCTGTGTATGGAGAAAGTAGTATGTCAGTCAGTAATGTGAACCTTCCGTTGTACCATTCCTCCAGGGTTGTAGGCAGCTTTTATAAACTTTGAGTTAACAATCCTTAATCCCTTAATCCCAGCACTGAGCTTTGTCAGTCTCTAAATAAACTGAAGGCAACACAATTAAATGCCCATCTTCCCTCCCTCTGAAATCTGTGGAGAAACATGAATGATGCAAACCCATCTAGATGTCACTACTCACATCCATTTTAAATTGGAGAAGGAAATTTTCCTGAAGAGCCAGAATCCTAAATAGGAAAAAACCCAAAAACAAAAATTGTAATCCATGTGATGATCTTTCAGCTTTCAATTCCAAGTAAAATGTATAATTCAAGTGTGAGGAAAGGACAGGCAATTTCCAAGTTATTCTGCAGAATAGGATATGTGCTTGGAAAACAGGACTTTATACAGTACAAAAATTAAAGAAGGGAAAGACTTTCACAGGAATTAGTAGTCACCATAGACATTTAAAAATTCCAACAAGGTTGCAAGTACAAGGTCATGTGCAAAATTCAGTTTTTCTATATATTAGTAATGGCCAATCCAAAAGAGAAAGCAAGAATACCATTCCACTTATAATAGTATCAAAAATAATAAAATTCTTAGGAAAAAGTATAAGAGACCCTAAGACTTAGAGAGTGATTTTTTTCAACATTGATCTATAGTTTTCAAAAATGACCTAAATATTACTGCAGCCATGAAATTAAAAGACGCTTGCTACTTGGAAGAAAAGTTATGACCAACCTAGACAGCATATTAAAAAGCAAAGACATTACTTTGCCAGCAAAGGTCCATCTAGTCGAAGCTATGCTTTTTCCAGTAGTCATGTATGGATGTGAGTTGGACTATAAAGAAAGTTGGGCACTGAAGAATTGATGCTTTTGAACTATGGTGTTGGAGAAGACTCTTGAGAATCCCTTGGACTGCAAGGAGATCCAACCAGTTCATCCTAAAGGAAATCAGTCCTGAATATTCATTGGAAGGACTGATATTGAAGCCAAAACTCCAATATTTTGACCACCTGATGCAAAGAACTGACTCATTGGAAAAGACCCTGATGCTCAGAAAGATTGAAGGCAGGAGGAGGAGGGGACAAGAGAGGATGAGATGGTTGGATGGTATCATGGACTCAATGGAAATGAGTTTGAGTAAGCTCTGAGAGTTGGTGATGAACAGGGAGGCCTGGCGTGCTGCAGTCCACGGGTTCGCAAAGAGTCGGACATGACTGAGCAACTGAGCTGAAATATTATTGAAGGACATCCGTGATCAGGAATTAGCCTTAATAGTGTTAAGATGGCAGTGTGCCTCAAATTTATCTGTTTATCCAACACAATTACTATAAAAATCCCAGTTGCCTTTTTTGCATAAATTGATAATCTGATTTTACAATTCATGCGGAAATGCAAGGGATTTTAGAATAGCCGTAACTATCTTGAACAAACCTTTGAAATTCATTCCTGATTAAAGACTTACTCAAAGCAACAGTAATCAAGATAAGGTGGAGTGTACAACATAAGATGTAGTACTGTCGTAGGGATAGATTCGTGGATCAATGGAATAGAAAAGACAGTCTAGAAATATACCTATACATTTATGGTCAATTGATTTTTGCCAAGGCCATTGAATGGAGAAAGAATAGTCTTTGAAGAAATGGTGTTGTGGCAAATGGATATCCACATAGACTCCTACCTCATACCATATATAAAAACCCAAAAGGTATCAAAGGCCTAAAAGTAAAAACTTATAAAACTCAGGAAAAAACATAAGGATAAATCTTCAGAAGCTTAGATTTTGGCAGTGGTTTCCTATATATGACACCTAGAACATAGGGAGCCAAATACAACCAAAACAAAATTCTGTAAAATTAAGCAAAATTAGATAAGTTCAGTTCAGTTGCTCAGTCACGTCCGACTCTTTGCAATCCCATGAGCCGCAGCACGCCAGGCCTCCCTGTCCATCACCAACTCCTGGAGTCCACCCAAACCCATGTCCATTGAGTCCGTGATGCCATCCAACCATCTCATCCTCTCTCGTCCCCTTCTCCTCCTGCCCTCAATCTTTCCCAACATCAGGGTCTTTTCAAATAAGTCAGCTCTTCGCATGAGGTGGCCAAAGTATTAGAGCTTCAGCATCAGTCCTCCCAATGAACACCCAGAACTGAACTCCTTTAGGATGGACTGGTTGGATCTCCTTTCAGTCCAAGGGACTCTCAAGAGTCTTGTGCAACACCACAGTTCAAAAGTGTCAATTAGATAAATGAGGCCTCATCAAAATCAAAAACTTTTGTTCTTCCAAGGATACAATCAAGAAAGTAAAAAGGGAAACATATACAATGGATGGAGAAAGCTTGCTAATCATGTATCTGATAACTATCTAGTATCCAGCCTATGTAAAGAATTGCTACATATTGCTACAAAGAATTGCCACATATTGCTACATATTTTAATTTCCAATAAAAGGAAAATTAACCCAATTTTAAAGTAGGCAAAGGATCTGAATGGACATTTCTCCAAAGAAGATATACAGATGGCCGTGAAAATATGTACAAAATTATTAGTCATCAGGGAAATACAAACCAAAATTACAGTGAGGAACACACCCACTAGGATGATGCCAACAATAAATACTGATTGGAATATGGAGAAATTAGAACCAAACCTTAGTATATGGTATTGGTGGGAATGTAAAATGGTGTATCCACTTTGGAAAGCTGTTTAGCAGTTCTTCAGAAAAGTAAGCACAGAAATACTATATGAATCCCAAATTCCACTCCCAGGTATATAACCAAGGGAATCAAATACTTATGGTCACACAGAAACATGTACAAAGGTGTCCATAGGCTCATTATTCATAATAGCTAAATAGTAGAAGAAATAACCTGCATGGTCATCAACCAATGAACATATAAACAAAACAATATATACATACAATGAAATATTATTCAGGTATAAAAAGGAAATATCGATACATGCTACAGCATGGATGATCCTTGAAAACATTATGCTCAGTGAAATAGCCAGACACTAAAGACCACATATGGTATAATTCCATTTATATGAAATGCCCAGAATAAACAAATATATAGGAACAGAAAGTACATTAGTGGTTGCCAGGGACTGGCGGGAGAGAGGAGATAATGATTCTTAATGTTATGCAATATCTTTCTGCCTTAGTGAAAATGTTCTGAAATTAAGTAGCGTTGATGGTTAAGCAAACTTATGAATATACTAAAATATACTGAATTGTACAGTTTTTTAAAGGGTGAATTATATAGTATATATGTTATATTCAATAACAGTTACCTGCTTCTCTTTTCTGCATAATTTCAATTGTACTTCAGTGGAATTGAGTCAGTTTCAAAAGACTAAAACCTTGCATTTATGTTGTATTTATAATCATGGATGTGTATATATAGGGAAAGGTAGAAAAAATATCATAACAGTATGGAAAATTGTGCTTCTCTGGATGTCCAGGGTAGAGAGAATTAAATTAAGCCAAATAGAGGGTAGAACATCCTGGGACTCAGCAAGGAATACTGTTCTCATCTATTTGTTGGCATCATATCTTAGACAGTTTTTAGACATTTTTTCCTTTGGAAAGGAGCTTATATATAGAGTAATAGGGCTTCACTTCAGAATTAGGGATAGAGAAAGAAGATTCCCATGAATAAATATTTTAGGACTTTTTTGTCATTGAATCGGTTCCTTATTGCTGTTGTAACAAATTATCATAAACTTAGTAGCTTAAAACAACACAAATTAATATCTTATAGTACTGGAACTCAGAAATCTGAAATGGATTTGACTGGTGTTTCACGGTGTTGACAGGGTTGTATTCCTTATGGAGGTTTTAGTGGAGAATATGTTTTCTAGCGTTTTTCAGCTTCTAGAAGCTGCCTGCATTCTTTGGCTTATGGCCCCTTCCTCTACTTCAAAGGCAGCAATATAACAAATTTCTCTGTGGTTCTGATCTTCTGCTTCCTCCTTCCATGTTTAAAGGACCCCTGTTGTCATATTGCACCCACCCAGATATTCCAGAATAGTCTATTTTAAGGTCTGTTACTTAGCAACATTAATTCTATCTGCAGCCTTAATTATCTTTGCCATGGAACATAAGATATTCACTGGTCCTGGGAGATCAAGTCTCACCTTTCAGAAAGGAGAGTGTGCTGTCATTAAACTCCTAGGAACGTGTTTCTGAATCTTTGACACCATTTCCGTGCTACTCACCTTGCCAAGTCATTAAGATCCAACCGACCATCTTTATTTTTGTCAAAGATCTTCATCTGGAATGCAGAAGGGGAAAGGACTGTAAGGAATACGTGTAATGGGAATTCATTTTGAAAGTCATTAAAGTGCTTTGCTAATTTGTTCTTCTGATTATATATTTAAATTGGCTGAGGCTGACTCATAAGGTCTCTTCTTAAAGAGGATAGAAAAAATATTTTTTTCCATGAAGGCAAAAGTAGCTGAGGAGGATATGATACAGGAGAAAGTCTCCCTCTATAAGCCTCAGAGGACTGTAGGAAGGGAGAGAGACAGTGAGGCAGAGGTGAGAGTGAAGTAGACAGATGGTGTGAGCTAACTCTCCAAGAAAGGGGTTCTGGAGGAAGAGCACTGGCTACGGAAGGACAACGCTGAGTGTGGAGAGTTGCTGGGCTTTGCTTTCCCCGGACACTCTGAGATCCCAAGGATTTGGATGCTGAGTCAAGGACGAGTAGGCCTTCTATGGAGCCAGCTGAGTATGAGATGATGTGGGTCGGAGGGTGGGGGTGGGTCGCTGAATCAGCAAGCTGGAAGGAGGGTGTGGCAGAGCATTAGTGGTCTGCATTCAGCAGGAATTAAAGGATGGCTTCAACCGTGAGTGTCAGCAAGGTAGCAGCAACTGTGTGGTCAGGAGGCATCACCCTGGAAACCAGAGCACTGTATCCAGGGACCTGGACTCCTCCCCTTCACCATGAGGTTCTCAGGGCCACTTTTCTCTCCTTACCCAGCTTGATGTCATTTTTAGAGAAGGGTCTGGCTGAGAAGTCTAAGATGCCATGAGCTCTTCCTTACTCAAAGAGGCTGTTTAAATTTTTTAGATCAGACTAAGCTTTAAACAAGATTGGATTAAAAATTAAAATGGGGAAGACTAGGTTGGTTTAGGCAAGGTAGAGGAGACACATTTTTTTTACATATCTAAGTTGTACTAGGAGTGGATTTTGTGACTTAGCAACATTTTGGTGGTGTGGGATATTACTAAATATATCCTTATGAGGAGGCTGCACAGGGAAGAAGCAGCAGTGAGATAATCTGAGGATAAATCTAACAGATTTTTACATTAAAAACATATGAGTCCTTCCTTCATCTCTCCTCACTCTCTAAATCAAATTTATTTTTACTATTTGAAGTGAATTTGAAATCCCATTCTCCCAAAACCTTGACATCACAAATGTGTATTATAAAATTTATTAAAACACAGAAGCCATCTTGAAAAGATAGAATAGTTGCTAATCTGGTTATATGAATTTATTAGGATTTTCTTCCTCCCCAAACTCAATTATGGAAAGGTCTCAGAAAATGACCAGTTTATAAGAGGGAGGGAAGAGTAAGCTCCTGGTAATTCATGATCTCAGTAATTTGAGAAAGTTGTTTGTAAATAGGTCTGTACTAACTCATGGAAGTACATTTGGTGAATTTTGAATGTTTGACAATTTCTGTGGCAGGCAGGGGACATAAAGGTTTCTTAATTTTTAAAACTCTAATAGTGAACTTTTGTAGAGCAGCCAACACTTCATATTTTATTTCATTTAATCGTCACCACATTCTTAGAAGAAATAGCTGCATGCCATACAGGCAGGGAACTGGAATTTAGCAAGATTAATTTATCTAAGAAAGTAGCAAGATTTGAATCCAAGCTTATCTGTCACAAGAACTCTTTCCATAAACCAGGCTCTTAGTTTTACAGGTTCTGGACATCTCATGGTTAATGTAGTACATGCTTTATGTTTGGTTATGAAAGAAAACATCTGGTGCCATAGATTAAGAGATGCCATAGAGATGTGGTATTTACTTTTTCTGATTGCCCTTCTTTCTGTGAGAAATAAAAAAAAAAAAATCTATTTATGTGTTTCCCTCTGACCTTTGTGGACATTTGCTTATGGCACAAGTCACTCATGGAGGGCTTTGGTGGTTCATGGTGGTGGCGGTGGGGACAGGATTCCTTATGGGGACTTCCCTGGTGGTCCAATGGCTAAGATTCCCATGTAACCAATGCAGGGGGCCCAGGTTCAATCCCTGATCAGGGAACTAGATCCCACATGCCACAACTAAGAGTTCACATGCTGCAACTAGATCCCTCATACTGCAAGTAAGACCCAACAAGGCCAAATAGTAAAAAAAAAAAAAAAAAAAAAAAAAAAAAAAAAAAAAAAAAAANTTTTTTAACAATTGTTAATTGATAATTTGAGATACAGTGCAAGGTCAAAAATATGCAGATAGTTCATAGCAAAGAGTACAAAGTAAAAGTCCTTCCTGTCCTTATTGTAGAGATAATTACCATTCACAGACTTATCCTTCCAGAAAATTTTTAAACATTTTAATATGTCTCTCTTCATTTTTTTTTTTTTTTGGACAAATAAGACCACATTCTATGTATTATTTGCAACTTGCTTTTTAAACAATATTTTTGGAAATCACCCCTTAACAGGTGTTTTTGTTTCTTTGTTTACTTAAAAAGAGATTCTCATTTTTAAAAAGTCTGAATATTGTTGCCATGTACACTCTGAAAAAGGGTTTAGAGCCCCCTCCCAGGTTACTAAGTCAAGAATTATATGTTGAATAATTGGGTGTCCCTAGTGGTTCAGCACTAAAGAATCCACCATCAATGAAGAAGACGCAGTTTCCATCCCTGGGTCAGAAAGATCCCCTGGAGAAGGAAATGGCAACCCACTCCAGTATTCTTGCCTGGGAAATCCCATGGACAGAGGAGCCTAGCAGGCAATAGTCAATGGGGTCACAAGAGAGTCGGATATGAGCGACTAAACAACAACAAATGTTGAATAGTTACCATGTGTCTAACAACATGCAAGGCACTGGGAGAGACTCTCAAAAATCTTTAAAGCGGTACAGGCTTTTCGGAGCTTACAATGTAATTGGAGCAGCAAAAATGAATATCTGAAATAAGATTCAGCATTATCTCCTTGACCACTGAGACAAAGAAACAGAACAATATGTTAGAATACTGAAGAATACTGAGAAAGGAGATGGGACTTCAGATAAGTCCCGAAGGAAGGGCAGCTTGAAAGGTGGAGTTCATATTCACTGGGTTGAGGAAGATCCCAATGAAGCAGGTCTGTGGGGGAAGGTCAGAAAGTCAACTCTGGATATGCTAGGTTTCAGAGGTATATTGGGCATCCAAGTAGAGACATACATTCAACTATGTGCAAGCAGCTCAGAGAAGTACTCTCGGTCAGAGCTATAAACTGGAGGAGGTCACCATCAGCTGGTATTTAAAACCATGAGACTGGGTGAGGTCATCAGTACCATAATGGTGGACATGGAGGAGAAGAGATATCAAGAGAGCCTGGCAGGGGAGGGATAAATGTGGATTGGAGTTGAAATAGACACAGTACTGTATATAAGTTGAGAGCTCCAAAGAATAGCAAGGAGAAATAAGAAAGCCTTCCTCAGTGATAAGTGCAAGTTCCAGAGAATAGCAAGGAGAGATAAGAAAGCCTTCCTCAGTGATCAGTGCAAAGAAATAGAGGAAAACAATAGAAGGGGAAAGAGATCTCTTCAAGAAAATTAGAGATACCAAGGGAGCATTTCATGCAAAGATGGGCTCAATAAAGGACAGAAATGGTGTGGACCTAACAGAAGCGGAAGATATTAAGAATAGGTGGCAAGAATACACAGAGAAACTGCAAAAGGGATTTTCATGATCCAGATGATCACGATGGTGTAATCACTCACCTAGAACCAGACATCCTGGAACATGAAGTCAAGTGGGCCTTAGGAGGCATCACTGCGAACAAAGCTAGTGGAGGTGATGGAATTTCAGTTGAGCTATTTCAAATCCTAAAAGGTGATGCTGTGAAAGTGTTGCACTCAATATGCCAGCAAATTTGGAAAACTCAGCAGTGGCCACAGGACTGGAAAAGGTCAGTTTTCATTCCAATCCCAAAGAAAGGCAATGNCAGTCCCATCACTTCATGGCAAATAAATGGAGAAACGGTGGGAACAGTGACAGACTTTATTTTTGTGGGCTCCAAAGTCATGGCAGATGGTGACTGCAGCCATGAAATTAAAAGACGCTTACTCCTTGGCAGGAAAATTATGACCAGCCTGGACAGCATGTTAAAAAGCAGAGACATTACTTTGCCAACAAAGGTCCATCTAGTCAAGGCTATGGTTTTTCCAGTAGTCATGTATGAATGTGAGAGTTGGACTATAAAGAAAGCTGAGCGCCAAAGAATTGATGCTTTTGAACTGTGGTGTTGGAGAAGACTCTTGAGAGTCCCTTGGACTGCAAGGAGATCCAAACAGTTTATCCTAAAGGAGATCAGTCCTGAGTGTTCATTGGAAGGACTGATGTTGAAGCTGAAACTTCAATACTTTGGCCGCCTGTTGCAAAGAGCTGATTCTTTGAAAAGACCCTGATGCTGGGCAATATTGAAGGCAGAAGAAGAAGGGGAACGACAGAGGATGAAATGGTTGGATGGCATCACCGACCCAACTGACATAAGTTTGAGTAAACTCTCGGAGTTGGTGATGGACAGGGAGGCCTGGTGTGCTGCTGTCCATGGGGTCACAAAGCAACTGAACTGCATGTAAAATAGATAATGAATAAGGACCTACTGTATAGCACAGGGATCTCTGCTCAGTATTCTAATGGCCTATATGGGAAAAGAATCTAAAAAAAGTGTATAACTCATTCACTTTGCTGTACATCTGAAACTAACAATAAACATTGTGAAAACGAAAGTGTTAGTCACTCAGTTGTGTCCAACTCTTTGCAGTCCCATGGACTGTAACCTACTAGGCTCCTCTGTGCATGTAATTCTCCAGGTAAGAATACTGGAGTGGATAGCCATTCCCTTCTCCAGGGGATCTTCACAACCCAAGGATAAAACCCCAGTCTTCCGCATTGCAGGCAAAGTCTTTATTGTCTAAACCAACAGGGAAATCAACTATATTCCAATAAAAATTAAAAAAAAAAAAAGCCCAGTTGTGTCTTAGGTTGGCTTGGATCAGAGACCTAGGGAAGGAAGCAACTGGAAGTTAGATGTTTTAATCCAGGCAT